TGAAACCTTCTCTGTTCCTCCCTGCTTCATGCGAATTGGTTTACTATTGCTATTTTATTTTTTTATTTATTTATTTGTTTCCTTCCGTATGCGTATTCCATTTCCTCACTGTTTTTTTTTTTTGTTTTCTTTACATCCCTGTGCCAATCCAAAGTGGCAAACTTTATTCTTATTTTTGCTAGTGATTATGCTAGTGATTATGCTAGCGATTGTGCTGGTGATTAGGCTATTTATTATTTTTTTTTTTTTTTTTTGTTCTTGTTATTTTTTTTTCTTTATTTTCTATCCTTTTATCTATTTCTAATAAAATCACAATTCTGAACAAAAACGTTTTTGTCGACGATCGACACAAAAGGGAGAAAATTTTTTTTTTTTTTTTGTTTTTTAAGGCAGTGCTTTAACGTTACCTGGGAGCGTGGCTTTTTCATTAATGTGTATGCGAACCTCCTCCTATCAGTTTAGTCAATGCTCAAGCATAATTTTGTTTATGCATACACTCACCTGCATCATGTCGAAGGATGATTTTTACGTGTATGCATAACCAGTGAATTCACCGTTTTAAGGTGTACTAGTGTTGATACAGCCAAGCTTTGTATACACGGCTAGCAACGCACGCATGGATTCGTTGGAGTAAATCTAGAGCATTGTTTGAATGTGCACGAGAGGGAGGAACAAATGGAAAGGCCAAGAGAAAACAAACCATGCTTACGTGCAGTATCGGCATACACCCCAAGGGGGCAAAGAGGGGGCGTTTTTTTTACACGCCTGTTTTTTCTCTGCTCGCGCGTACGGGTTGATCTAATGCACAATTGTGTATTTTAAAGGGAGGGCATATTTGAGCTAACTGGGAAAAAAAAAAAAAAAAAAAAAAACAGGAAAGAACGCGAAAAAGGGCTACACAATGCCACTTCGCCGCTTCTTTTCCCCCTTTAGCGCTCTCCCTCTCGTGGGCGCAAAATTGCATAGGGGAAAAACAAAAAAAAAAACGCATATGAGCGATGTGTGATTGATGTACACGTGGCGGAACAAACACGAAATGGGGATGGTTTCGCTTAGAAATGCCTTAAAAGTAATGATTATAAGCCCACATGAACGTCACAGAGGACCGTCTTTCTAAACGTTCAATCTGTGGATGGGAGGCTCCACTGTGTTATCACCAGTTTGATCAAGTTGGGGGGGAAAAAGAAGAATGTTAACAATTGAAAGATTATAAAATATAGTGCATGGTGGTGTAGTGTATAAACCGAACCACACAATTACGCAATTGTTCCTTGGTTGGGGGGACTTTTCCCCCTTACGGATAAATATGCAAGAAGAACATTTCGTCGCTTCTCCACAAAAAAAAGAAAAAAAAAAATATGTGCCTGACTCGTTTTACCCATTTCGAGCTTTTTACACATAACAGAAGAAACAGTCATTCTCCTTTGCATGTTCGTAAAGACATAATCCCGGCACTGCATCATGTTCACATTTGCTCCAGTTGGCTTCGCATATTTTTACACACTCTTCGTACTTGTCAGGATTGAGTGAGTAGGATCTCGAGCAGTCATGTCCAGTGCTAATAGACTCATGATTTTTGTATGTGATCAAGTTCATTTTGACCTTATTTTTTTTTATGTACTTTAGTAAATGTAACACTTGGGTGCCTAGCAAGGGGGCTCCGGGTGCCGTGCTTGACGAGCCGTCTGGTCCGGCTGTTCCCTGTTGATCTGGCTGATCGCCTCCTGAAAGGTTTACTGCTTCCCCTCCTGTGGTACCCATGTTTAGTACTCCGGTTTCTTCCCCCTGGCTCGGTAAAGGCGGAGCATTTGTAGACACTTGCCCAGCCGTCGTTCCTTCTACTGCTGCTGTACTGCTTGGAGGAGCAGTTTCCTGCACAGCATCCTTTCCTCCCTCCTCTGCAGCTGCTTGTCCTTGGAGCACCGATTCGTGGACCACCCCCGTTGCGTTATTTGTGGAGCCACTGTTCTCACCGCCCGCGTTTTTATAGTCGATGTTGTCCCCCACATCAGCGGAGCTCTTCAAGTGGTTGTATATCTGCGCCTCTTCCTGTATGGGTGTTTCCACCGAGGGAACGTAATTGTAACAAACGTCCGACGAATTAACGTTCTTCATTTTCAGGGTGCACACGTAACACTTTTCTATGTACACACTTCCATTGAGGAAGCAATTGCTAGCTATTGCGTCGCATTTTTCTAAAAAAAAAAAAAAAAAAAAAAAATTGACTCGTTGGAAATGGGCATAAACCTGGGAACCACACCAGGACGTTAAGTGTGATGAATGTGTGTGTGTGGGGGGGGTTATTTTTCTTTGTTTATTTCTTCCTTGTATGACTCACCAGGCATGTCGTTACTTAAGGCATAGTTTTTGCTTTCAAATACGTTGGAGCCGTTTTGCTGGATGACGCTGTGTACTTGCACAGAGGTGAATTCTCCACTTAAATTTTTCATTACGTATTTTATTACTTCCACATTATCATCTGAAGACGGGGGGGAGAAAGCGGTAAAAAAAAAAAGACGAAATTAAGTGGGCAACTGGGATGGGTACAGAAATGGAGTTTCGCATGTGAGCTAAAACGAGGGGGTGCAAAATTTAACCACCAAATGCAAATGCTATGTTCCACTGCCAATTTGTTTTCA